ATTGACGCAGCGCACCTGTGCATGAGACATGAGCACCGAATCTAAATGTAGGTTTTCCAATGATAATTAGTATTGGACAATAGCGGCATGAAATGTGAGTGCAAGCCAACCTATAAAGGTAACGGATAGCTATAATTTACCGTTTGGTGGAGGCTTAACTGACCAGGTAGGTGCTCATGTCCCCGTGCGTGCTCTGCGCTCGCTTTTATGAGCAATCGCGGTCAGCGAGGCGTGTGGTCATTGTGTGCTTTTGATGTGATTTATGCTCATCAGAGATGTGAACTTGGCAAATTTACTAAAACTGAACCAAAGTCTACACCGTTGTGGGCTCACAACTATTCAACTATCCTTTTACACCATGTTTGTGTTTGCATGTCGGTTTAAAATAATGGATACACACACTAGATGCTGGTCGTTAAAGTCCTTTGTCTTAATATGGGCCAGTACTATGGTAAGTACCTGGTACTTGCTGTATAATTACTGGTATTATCACTGGTACTTATGTTAAAGTCCTTTGTCTTATTATGGGCCAGTCCCTATGGTAAGTACCTGGTACTTACTGTATAATTACTGGTGTTATCACTGGTACTTGTGTTAAAGTCCTTTGTCTTATTATGGGCCAGTCCCTATGGTAAGTACCTGGTACTTACCGGTAAGTACCTGGTACTTGCTGTATAATTACTGGTATTATCACTGGTACTTATATAGAAGTTATTTGTCTTAATATGGGCCAGTCCCTATGGTAAGTACATGGTACTTACCGGTAAGTACCTGGTACTTGCTGTATAATTACTGGTGTTATCACTGGTACTTATATAGAAGTTATTTGTCTTAATATGGGCCAGTCCCTATGGTAAGTACATGGTACTTACCGGTAAGTACCTGGTACTTGCTGTATAATTACTGGTGTTATCACTGGTACTTATGGTTAAGTCCTTTGTCTTATTATGGGCCAGTTCCTATGGTAATTACCTAGTACTTACTGTATAATTACTGGTGTTATCACTGGTACTTATGTTAAAGTCCTTTGTCTTATTATGGGCCAGTCCCTATGGTAAGTACCTGGTACTTACTATATAATTACTGGTGTTATCACTGGTACTTATGTTAAAGTCCTTTGTCTTATTATGGGCCAGTCCCTATGGTAATTACCTGGTACTTACTGTATAATTACTGGAGTTATCACTGGTACTTATGTTAAAGTCCTTTGTCTTATTATGGGCCAGTTTCTATGGTAATTACCTAGTACTTGCTGCTAAGTACCTAGTACTTGCTGCTAAGTACCTAGTACTTGCTGCTAAGTACCTAGTACTTGCTGCTAAGTACCTAGTACTTGCTGCTAAGTACCTAGTACTTGCTGCTAAGTACCTAGTACTTGCTGCTAAGTACCTAGTACTTGCTGCTAAGTACCTGGTACTTAGCAGACGTTTGTTTTACATAATGTTGTTTTATGTTTTATAGTCAAACAATCCTACAAATGACCTCTGTATGTATGTATGTAGAAGTACCACATTTACTACATAGGAATAATGCTGTAGTATCCTTGAATTACTAAGTTACAGCTGTATCTAGAATTATCACAATAAGTACCTAGAAGTACCACTGTAAGTACCTCTGTAAGTACCACAATAAGTACCTCTGTAAGTACCACAATAAGTACCTAGAAGTACCACTGTAAGTACCTCTGTAAGTACCTCTGTAAGTACCTCTGTAAGTACCTCTGTAAGTACCTCTGTAAGTACCTCTGTAAGTACCTCTGTAAGTACCTCTGTAAGTACCACAATAAGTACCACAATAAGTACCACAATAAGTACCACAATAAGTACCACAATAAGTACCACAATAAGTACCACAATAAGTACCACAATAAGTACCACAATAAGTACCACAATAAGTACCACTGTAAGTACCTCTGTAAGTACCACTGTAAGTACCACAATAAGTACCACTGTAAGTACCTCTGTAAGTACCACAATAAGTACCTAGAAGTACCACAATAAGTACCACAATAAGTACCTCTGTAAGTACCACAATAAGTACCTAGAAGTACCACAATAAGTACCACTGTAAGTACCACAATAAGTACCACTGTAAGTACCACAATAAGTACCACTGTAAGTACCTCTGTAAGTACCACAATAAGTACCTAGAAGTACCACTGTAAGTACCTCTGTAAGTACCACTGTAAGTACCACAATAAGTACCTAGAAGTACCACAATAAGTACCACTGTAAGTACCTCTGTAAGTACCTAGAAGTACCACTGTAAGTACCTCTGTAAGTACCACAATAAGTACCACTGTAAGTACCACAATAAGTACCACTGTAAGTACCACTGTAAGTACCTCTGTAAGTACCACAATAAGTACCTAGAAGTACCACAATAAGTACCTAGAAGTACCACTGTAAGTACCTCTGTAAGTACCACAATAAGTACCTAGAAGTACCACTGTAAGTACCTCTGTAAGTACCACAATAAGTACCTAGAAGTACCACTGTAAGTACCTCTGTAAGTACCACAATAAGTACCACTGTAAGTACCACAATAAGTACCTAGAAGTACCACTGTAAGTACCATGGACTTACCGGCCCGTAATGTAAAGTATTACCAACATATATATAATTAATATGAATAAATAAATACAAATGTATATAGTAAATAATTTTAATAACTCAAATAAATAACATTACAAATTGAATAACATTACATATTAAATAAACATGTGGAGGCCGCATTTCAGATTTAGTCTTCCTGAAAATGTAAGACAGGCTTCTAAATCCAGGTTTAAAACAGTTCTGTTGAGCTCTGCATGAAACCGAGGGATTATATCTCCACTCTTTTGAATGCACTGTGATTATTCATGCCTTGTGTGATTGTTTATATGTTGATATCTTGTTTTTATCAGCACTTTGAGTTGCCTTGAGTATGAACTGTGCAACACAAATAAACTTGCCTTGCCTACAAAAGAGTCACTTTGGATGAGATTGTATCACGTTAGATTGCAATCGACAAACAGGTGTCTTTGATCTGCTGCTATCAGCCTGGTGTCAGTCTGCTCCTGTGTGATCCACCTTCAAAGCTGCTCCAACTTTGTGTAAAGTCAGACGAGCATCAAAGAAAGAAGGGGCTGTCGTTCCTTTGAATATCGCATCACAGAACGCCACTTTCTGATGCGAACCAGATATTGAGAAATGATTATTGATATGAAAAAAAGTAAACGAAAATTTAAACTCACATTAAGGAGGTGTAAACTGTGATATTCATTATGCCATTCATATTTCTATAACACCCTTTACACTCCCCGGAGAGAGGGGATATCATTATTTTGTCCTTGTCTATACAAGTTGGAAGCCTGTAACATACACCATCAAAATACCTGGCAAGGCGAGTTTATTTGTATAGCACAGTTCATACTTAAAGTGATTGTCTGGAGTTTGTCAGAAAAAAGGGAGAGAGGTACATGATTTGAAAAAAGAAAACGACCCAAGCCCCCTCCCCCTTCCTTTCTGATTGGTCTACGCCTCCGTTTCTGTAACAATCAATCAACACATTTAAATGTTAACATTATACATATACATTATTATCACACATGCACGGAGGCTTTCAGAATTATTTGATAACGTTTTCATAACAAAAATAATGTTTTAATGCACAAAAAAAGCGATCGCGGTAGGATTAATAGTTAGAAGTAACTATTAACATTAATTGAACATCATAGGACACATCTGCAGAGGATCTGATTATGGATGTAGGTTCAGTATATAAATGGGTAACTCAGCGCGGATGTTCAGAATTCTTTGTTCAGTTCTCATGTAGTTCCAGAGCCTAATGGAGGCTTGATTCTGTGGCTTGGTGAAAACAAACAACTGAGCATGCGCGCCGATGATTGACAGCTCTTGGCATCACTTGATTGGTTAAACTGGACGGCATTGTGGATTTTGAGCTATAGCTAAGAGAAGGGAAGGCCGGACTTGCCCGTAATATTAGAATTCATGAAAGGCCAGGAGGTCAATTTAATACAAACTCCACCTCCAGGCCATCCTGAGTGGAGTTTGCATGTTTTCCCTGTGTCTGCGTAGGTTTCCTCCAGGTGCTTCAGTTTCCCCTACCACTAAAAACATGTACAATAGGTCTTGCATACGCCTCCTGTATGGTGATCCCACACCAAAACGTGACAGGAAAAGGGCCCACAACAATTGTAAAGTGGGTTGTGGCTCTGGTCTGTGAAAGGCGCAGACCGGAGTCCTATCATCACGGCATGAAACAGACAATGGGGCACTGGGTGAATAGCAATGAACAGACAACAGCTGAAGTCACAATGACGACAGATGTAGTAGGATGAGGAGAGGATTATACTCCAACAATTTGATGACATTTTCCTCATTCAAAAGATAAATTTGTTAATCGCCATGGCAATAGGGCCGATTTTCATTCTGAAGCCTGGAAGTTTAACTTAAATTGAGTGAAAAAATTCAAGTTTAAACTTCTTTTTCACACAATTTCTCTTTTTACTCAGTACCTTCATGCATTCCCACACATAGTTTTTTGTTGTTAAAATATCAATATTTACTTGTAATCCCAGACATTAAAAAGAAAACACATACAAAGATACTCTGTAGATATAAATCATCTCTCTCTCCATTCCAAGACATTAATTACTGTTAAAAGTCTACATTTTTCACATGCCAGTAAACACGCCATCTTAATCTTTTCATTGGCTGTCAGGAGAAATATTTCAGGTTTCTGCCTCAGCTCACTAATTATGCACTGAGGCCTATTGGATCTTTATGTAATCCCATCACTTTCCACATCCCTTGAGTTGAAAATGTAACGTTCTTCACTTAGAAGCCTGGAACGTTAATAGATTAGATTTTGCATCTTATCTGTTATTTCCATGACAGGTTAAGTGGTGGTTGGAGGTCACTGGGATGCGCCACTGCAGTTTCCTTTAGTGTGAGGACTTGAGGAAAGCGTAGGTGGTCTGTTATCTGCGGCGACCTATGACTTCATGTTTGTTTCCAATTCAGATGAAGACAGATGCTGCGGTTGATGATGTAAGGTGCATATTTCACTTTGCTTGCATTTAGTGTATTTTGTTATATTTTGTTTTAGTAGTTTCATTTATTCTATTTATTTTATTTTATTTATTTATTTTATTTATTTTATTTATTTTATTTATTTTATTTATTTTATTTATTTTATTTATTTTATTTATTTTATTTATTTTATTTATTTTATTTATTATACTTATTTCATTTACTTTATTTGTTTTATGTATTTAGTTTGATTTATTATTATTTTTATTTATAATATAAAACATATTTATATTTTTGTTTTGATTAAATTCATGGGTAACAACTTTTTTTGTCTTTTTTTACATTTTAGCACACTAAAAAAACTACTATAAAACATTTTTAAAAAGAATTCCAAAAACTCAGAAGTTCATACCTAGGTTTTCACCTGTTATATCTTTGAACGTGTGCTTTGAAAAAGGACAATAAGAAAAATAGGCAATTTGTCAAATCTGGAACAACTAATCTAAATGAGAGTTTACAAATCATTATTTCTATTCTTTTTGGTTCTTTTTCTTTGTGACAAGCCAATAATCATATTTTTTAAAAGGGTGAAATAAGACCGAATGCATTTCAGTGAAGGCAATTACTCAAAATGCCATTCCAATATGCACACAGAGGGTTCTCAGCAATCATAAAACTGAGGAAAATATCCCTAAACACAACTCCAGTCAAGCCTATTGTGAGAGAAATACAATAAACCATAATTAGAAGCAGTTATATTGACACAACACTAAACACTTTCTATTGTCAGCCACAAAAACAAAGCCAAAAGTTATGGCATGAAGTGACTGAACTAGACACTGTGCATTCAACTTTAGTTATTCTTCTACTTTTCACGGCTACAGTTTGTTGTAAAACTTATTCCAATTTGCTTTAACTCTGCAGATGTCAAATAAACCGCACAATAAATGATTAGTTCAAGGCCCTGCCAGTAGGTGGAGCCCTTGTATTTGACACCCAGTCTCTATAGCCACAAAAACTTACTAGGTCTTTAATAAGATTGAAGACTATTTTTAACAGCATATTTGACAAGGGTGTGGCTGCTGGATTTAGGCTTTTGTATTCTGAATTTCCACTATTTGTTCATTGTTTGTCTCGAAATGGAAAAACAAAACAAAAGTCCATTCAATACAAGAATGTAATGTTAACTGATGTACTTAGCTGTTGAGCTAAAATGCCAACGCAGACTCTGAGGAGCACAGAGACTGGCCTCCTGCTGGGACTCTGAGGAGCACACGGATTGGTCTCATGCTGGGACTATGAGGAGCACAGGGACTGGCCTTCTGCTGGGACTCTGAGGAGCACAAGGAATGGCCTCCTGCTGGGACTCTGAGGAGCACAGGGATTGGCCTCATGCTGGGACTCTGAGGAGCACAGGGACTGGCCTTCTGCTGGGACTCTGAGGAGCACAGGGACTGGCCTCCTACTGGGACTCTGAGGAGCACAGATATTGGTCTCCTGATGGGACTCTGAGGAGCACAGGGATTGGTCTCCTGATGGGACTCTAAGGAGCACAGGGAATGGCCTCCAGCTGGGACTCTGAGGAGCACAGGGACTAGCCTCCTGCTGGTACTCTGAGGAGCACAGAGACTGACCTCCTACTGGTGCCCAGAGTCAGGACAAAATATGGGGAGGCAGCATTTCAGATTTATGCAGCTTGAAAAAGTACAGGGCGTAGTGGAAAATGCATTGTAGTTGTTCTTCCTTTAGTTGACCAGATTTGCCTTTTATGTTACTAATTCAAACTGTTTGCGTGTTGTGAAACTGCCTTTCCCCATGTTTTTACTATTGCGTTAATGTGAAGCATATTTCCATCAATTGTGTGTTTGTTTTGTTTATGTGGCCAGACTTTGCAGCTTTAATTAGAGGAAGAAGAATTCACAATACATAAAGCTCCTCGGCTTTGAAACGATCTTCCTGAGGAGATAAAGCTCGCACCATCAGTATCCTCTTTTAAATCACTTCTTAAAACCCTTTATCAAACATTTATGTTTTACACCTCATGTTGTTTTTTCTGTCTTGTTGTCTGTCTGCTTTATTCTGCTGTATTTCTCTTTGATCTGACTGTTTTATTACTGCTTTATGCTGTCTGTGCAGCGCTTTGTAAACACTGTTTTAATTTTTAAAAAGTCCTATGCAAATGTTTATTTATTATTAACATATAATATAAAGGCATTGCATTGGTAGAGCTGGAGTACTGAACTTTAAACCCACAAAAATAACGATGTCATAAAATCCTAGTTGCTTCCTCCCCGTTGACTGTAATTCCTCCCTGGTTTCCACATACATGTATTTTTGGCCAGCTCTCACTCAACCAATCAGCTCGCAGAAAAGATGCAAAGTTTACAAATAAGATTAACAAAAAGTTAATCTGATTTGCTCAAAAAATGTTAATATTGTTGGGACCAAAGTACAAGAACAAGTTGGCTTGTCCATGCTTTAAATTATTTTTTATGTCCCAATTATTGTAAGCCAACCTTTTGAATGAAATGGAAGTCATAAAATTGGCCGCTATCAAATGGCAAAGTAAGAACAGACACTCGATTCTACTGAAAGTAATAATATTTCAAAACTTGTTAAATCCAGCAGAGGGCAGAAGAACCTGTCTAAATGTCTAAATGTGTTCTGCTTCTAATGCTCCTGCAGTTTGGGAAATGTCCTGGAGGGAGCATGCTGTTCACAAATGCATGTGTCCAATGGAATCAACCTGCTTTGGCCTATTAGATCTTATTTCTGTGGTATTCGGTCAAAAGCCCATGTTTGTACAACTCAACTAGCTTTCAGCAATTGAACCACTTTGAAACCCCACTTAATACAGAAACATTATGTGGGTAACATTATTTTTCTCAATAAGAAGAGTGCTACATGTTTTTCCTAACACACACGAAAAGTTCAAACACAGGAAATACAGTACAGTGATAAAAAAACACAAAGAACCATTGGTCCATAAGGAGCAGATTACCAATGTGCATAAATGTTGATAAAATCCATAAATCGTTGAATGCCCTTAACCCTCTAATAAAAAACTCTAATAACCCAGTGGGAGAAACAGAGAAGTCTCTGGGAGGCCCACATAGAGGGAGGGATCCGCTCCCACATTTAAGTAATTTAATTAATTTAGTCCAATCATGAAGCAGTAGGATGTTGTATTGGGTTTATTCGTTGTTACACTTTGGCTTGCCTTAAAAATGTACAAAAGTCTGTGCTCATTTAAAATCTGAGATAAAGCGTGCATTCAAAAAAGAAACTAAATCTTGGATGTGCAAGCAGCAGCCTTGCACCCATGATTAGAGTGAGAGTGTTCTATAATTGCTTCTCTCTTGTGTTTCTAACATTATGCTTGTCATGTTGCAACACTTTCTCCTGCTTTATGTCAAAAAGCCCATAGGCCTGCCACAAGTGCTGCGAATTGCTGCTTGCACCACTGTATGTTTTCCATACCTGTCCCTACTCAAATGATTAAACCAAAACAAAAAAATAGAGTTGCTTTGATGAATAAAACTAATGAACAAGTTTGTGCTGCCTGTGTGTGTCCTCCACTTCATCTACTGTACAAACACTCATCATCACAGCAGCAGTTATTCCCCGGAGGTAAATTACACGGTGTCATATTATCATGATCTGTGCAGGCCTGTACGACACATTTATCTTGAAAATGGTGATTCATCAAACACGAGGCAACTAATAATAATATGCATCACTTTTATATAGTGCTTTTGTGGACATTTTAAGATGCTACCCATGTCATTGTTGTTTTACTACAAACATAGTGGTGATGAACTATTTTAGCCACAGCTGCCGTGGGCCACACTGACATATCCAAGGCAACCAGTATGTGCCATCGGCTCCTCTGACCACCACCAACCACTCACACACACAACAGACTTACACAAGGCAATGTGGGTGAAGTGTCTTGCCTTCGGGCTACATGTACCGGTAAAAAACGCTGGATTCAGGGGTCCCATCATCATTACATGAAACAGACAATGACACAGTGGGTGAATAGCAATGAGCAAACTACATCTCAAGTCATAATGATGAAAGAAGGAAGAGGAGAGTTACCATATCTCCCAGCAAAGTGTCTCCATTGGCAGTATGAACAACAATCTGTGTTTTTTTTTTTCTTCAACTTGAGGTTTTATTTCTTAGTCTTACCTACCTAGCCATATGCTGAATGGAAAGGGGAAGTTTATAGGACGCCAGACTGCTGTATAAAAAGTGTCCTGATTCAGAAGCTCATGTAGCAACTTATGCGTCTGAAGGGTGAAGTAAACATTGTAATGACAAACCCGTCTGTTCCCACTTCAAAGTGTGCAGGTAAACAAAGAACCTGTTATATAAGGCAGTCCTATCTCTTTCTAAGCCTAAGCAGGTTGTATGTCTGAGTGTGTTGGCTTATTTGATCACATGATGCCTCCAGGCTGCAGGTGGAGGAGCCGCCCGCACAAACTCGCATGCGCCCCTTTCTTTAATCTCTCCTAACTGTGGGCGCATCACATTTCATGTTCGCCCACACTTTGTGTTACCTCCCTCAAAGCAAGACCCAATAGAAACCCGCTATTTTGTGTTTGTGGGCGGGATTCACAGCGGAGGAAGTGGAGCGCACAGGACGAAAATTAACAGAAATCGGATGCGCCCAGAGTTGTCGCGCTAGCACTGCAGGACATCCACAACCTTTTGGGACACAGTCAACTTCAAGACAGCTTTTCTTAACTTTTATCAGCGAATTTAAGGATTTTTTTTTTTTTTAAACACGGTGACACGTTGTTATGTAGGATGTTATTTTACTTTCCCTGGGCTAATTTCGTGGTTTAACATTGAAACAAAGTTGGACTCTGAAGCTAGTTCCGACTTGCTTGCTCCTTCTGAACTGTGATGGACCACAAATAATTGGAACAAAACTATTAGGATTCTACCGTTTCTGCCCTAAAATACCTCTTTGAAAGGTAAGCATGAATTGAACGTGTAATGATGTACTGTAGCTTTAGTTCCTGAAGCTGGAATGGGCAGGTGCCTTGGCTAACAAAGCTAAAGTCACGTCAGAGTTAGCCACCTGTTGCGTTCCTAACTATTGACATAACATGCTAGCTCACAGATTACACCTGCTTAATCTTGTTCCCATTTCTTCACGTAGAGAGTATTTACACTTATTACAATGACACGTTTATGTGACGAGTGTGTAGTTTAATGAACTTTGCTCTATTGAGTAACAAGTGCTAGCCAGGTTTATTGTTCCTGGTCAGATAAGTTTTCTCCCTCTTCACGTCAATGTATATGTTTCGCCTCATTAGCATTAGCCATTCTCTATTATTTTCAATTGCTTGTTAGCACTTAGCTTCTAGGGACGTACTGCTAAATGCGTAGTATTCAATAATAATACCTCTCGTATAACTGGTTTAAACCTGTTTGTTTATTATACATGCTACTGCTTCACATTGCTTACGTAAAAGTAAAAGTTTAGATTACAATTACTGAATGTTATCTTGAGAATGTACAGGACATGGTTAATTTTGAGTCAATTATTTAAAATGTAAACAGATGCTGCAAAATGACAAAACCTGTTTGCAAATACTGATCTGACTTACTGTATATGCCTTTTTGTTGGTTTTGTTATTCCTTATGTATGTGATTTTAAACCTAACGCTTTTAATGACTTCGTTAAAATGCATTTTTGTTGAACACGTTTTCATACATTTTGTTTGTACCTACAAAGTCTTGCTTACGTAATATTTTCTGAAAAAAATCAGACCACAACATGTATTTATCTTTTTAGAAAACATTTTGTCTTTTACATAAAGAGCGCTGATTGTTTGAGTGATAGCTGGTACTCTCTTTATCACTTAGAAAAAAGGCCAAAATACATGCATGTGAAAACTAGTGATGGAGCCAACCTGTTTTGAGAGGAAGTAAAACTAGTTACATGCATTTCATTACATAGTTCTCTACCGGTTTCAAAGTATCCTGTAATGCCATCTGTTGTACTAAATAATACACACATTTAACAATAGTCCTTTGCTACTTTTAAGAAGGGCAAGTGCAGAAGAGAAAGCATTCCTTCACATTCCAATGGCAGGCCTGTCTACGTGTACCAACAAGCCACCAGTCCTCTTTAGTGCTGACAAAAACCACACATACGCCCTACATTTACGTATACAGCATTCACTGCTCAGAACAGGGAAGACAAAAGGATGTCTCGGCGTGCATTGTGTTCAGTGTATATAGGCAGCTTCGTAACCGGGTCAAACGCAGCGTACAAAGTTGTGGATTGTCGTTGCATGTGTGCGACAACAAGAGGCTTTACAGTTCGGCAAGTTGAAGAGAGTTTGGTTTAAACAAACAAGGTGGGTAGTGTTTTGATCCCTACAAAAGGTCATCGCGGGCAATTAGTTCCTCCTGCAAATTCTTAGAGAGTAAGGCGAGTAGATGTGGGTTAGTTTGTTTGAGGCTTGACCTGGTTGTAGTGTTAGTTATTCTACCATGCTGTTCTTCTAAATGTTGTGATTCATGCAAATTAGGACATGAATGGATTTTGCTACTCTTTTGGTGTTTTCGAATAATATTATCTGAATTTCAATACTTCAATACAACCAAAATGTGCAAATGATTGACCTAATGATTTCAAATACGCTACATTAACAATAATAATAACAAATGATTGAAAACCTTTTCTCAAGCTCTTATCTCAAAAGATAATATAATCAGATTTCCCCCAATTATGAGCCGGAAGAGGAGCACTTGTTGTAAACTCACTGTTTTGGAAAAATAACTGATCCAGAGACAACGGTTTCATAATTTCATCATAATATTGGTTTTAAAATACTTTTTCTAACATTTTCTAAATAATTGGCTCTTTTTGGCAGCATTTTTATAATTAGAAATTAATAATGAATTAAAATATACAACTACTTGCTTGCAGATATTGGAACGGGAATATATCTTAAATGCTGGTCTGGGTAGTCTTCAAAACCTCAATTTCCTGTCTGAAAAAGAAGATGATCCAAAGATATGACAGAAGTCAACGATACATGCATCTGATGGAACTATCGTAGTTGGATGGATTTCATCACTAGTTTTTTGTCTTTTCTTGAGCGTTAGACACCCCAGCTTTTAAGTCAATCACCAGCACAATAATACTTTGTTATGCCCCGTCTATAGATTTCAAAATTAACGCTACTGCTTGCCAAGTGTTGTGCATCACACTTGCAGAATCAATGTGCTTTCTGTCATCTGCTGCTTGTGTCGACAGCCTTTCACTGCTCGCTCCCAGACCCCACTGCTCTGGTGGTGGTGGGGATGCCAGCTCTGCAGAATGGTCCTGGCACAAAAGCCCATTGTGCCGCTCCACGCTCTGTACCAGTCTGTCTCTTTATTCACTCCACTGGGCCTTTTTTAATGAGCTAATGGGAGATTACTCCGAAGGTACGAGATGGCACGAGATGGTCTGTGTGGGTCGCTGAGAGAATGTAACTGTACATAACTGTTACATAATAAAACTGTCACTGAGTTTAAAAAAAGATGATTGTTATTTCAATCAATCAAGCGCTTTTCACACAAAAAAGTAACATAAAGTACTTCACATAAAAACATTGACCCAACAGAACCACCCAAAACACCCAACTGTCCCGCACGCATGCACGCACACACACACACATTAACAGAAAGCCTTAACATAGCACGAGGCTCAGTGCAGCTAAAAACCAGCTAAGGAAGTAGGGCTGCACGATATATCGAGAAAATATCGTTATCGCGATATAAGTTTGTGCGATATTCATATTGAAAATATGCCCCATTTTTTATTTTTTTCCCTTTTATTAAAGACGACAAAACAGACACACATCAACATTCAACAAATACAACAAACAAAAAAGTATATAAATATATGCATTTGAATGTCATTCATGTTTTTGTTTTTGCAGATTGCAATTTTAGGTGAAAGAAAGAAATATTGCAATAATATCGTTATTGCAATACTAAACACTAGAGATGCACCGATCCAGCTTTTTTACTACCGATAGCGATACCGGAACTATGGGTATCTGCCGATACCGATATTGACCGATACCGGAAATGATCATGCTTAAATGTATTTAATAATTGAACTCTTTGTTCAAGTAACTGCAAAAGCAGTGGATGAACTAAAGCGCTAAACTTTCCAGATAAAAATGGATTCAACATAAATGTGCAATACTGCAACTATAAAGAGCTGCTCAATATTCACATTAAACATTCCAACACTGTATTATAGTATTAATTAATTGGATCATTTAAACTTCTTTAACAAATAAACTGAAAAGTGGGGCGTGCAATATTATTCGGCCCCTTTACTTTCAGTGCAGCAAACTCACTCCAGAAGTTCAGTGAGGATCTTTGAATGATCCAATGTTGTCCTAAATGACTGATAATGATAAATAGAATGCACCTGTGTGTAATCAAGTCTCCGTATAAATGCACCTGCTCTTTGATAGTCTCAGGGTTCTGTTTAAAGCGCAGAGAGAACCATGAAGACAAAGGAACACACCAGGCAGGTCCGAGATACTGTTGTGGAGAAGTTTAAAGCCGGATTTGGATACAAAAAGATTTCCCAAGCTTTAAACATCTCAAGGAGCACTGTGCAAGCAATTATATTGAAATGGAAGGAGTATCAGACCACTGCAAATCTACCAAGACCCGCCCGTCCCTCCAAACTTTCATCTCAAACAAGGAGAAGACTGATCAGAGATGCAGCCAAGAGGCCCATGATCACTCTGGATGAACTGCAGATAACTACAGCTGAGGTGGGGATGGTGTGTTCATGGTGATGAGCTGTGTTGCTTTTACGCCAAACATATCGTTTTGCATTGTGGCCAAAAAGTTCAATTTTGGTTTCATCTGACCAGAGCACCTTCTTCCACATGTTTGGTGTGTCTCCCAGGTGGCTTGTGGCAAACTTTAAACACGACTTTTTATGGATATCTTTGAGAAATGGCTTTCTTCTTGCCACTTGTAGCATATACGTTACCCAATAGCTAATAAGATCTAGTAGCTAGATGTATAAGTAATGTACTTTAGTTTGTTATCTGAATATGCTAACTAGGAGAAGAGATAGATTTAGGCTAGTATCAGAAAACCCTGGAACGACTCTGGGAGAGAGGAGGCAGAAACTGTATATACCTTTGGTTTGCACCATGTATTAAACAATTATATACAGTGGCAGTGAATAACAATATAGACAGTGAAAAACAGTGAATGGCCATTCATAATGATGCAATACTCGAGCAAAGATATATTTACAATACAAAAATAAACAACGTTCTGGTGGACTCAGAAGTTCAAGTACTCTCGGGTATTCAAGGAACTGGTGTGCAAATACGCGACTTTAAGTTCTGTAAAGTGCGAGTGCATCCAAGTCCAAGTTCAACACAAGTAATCCCAGAGTTGGGATTCTCCAACACTGAGTGGGATCGATGGGTTTCGGAAGGAATGGGTAGTGTCCAAGGAGTAGTGTTGAGATATGACTCAGTTGTAAGGATCCCAATAAAGTGCTGTGTGCAAGAGTTCAATTATAGGCTGCGGGAGCCTTCTACCAGCCCAGGACCAGTGGTGGAGGAGGAACTCCTTCAGGGTCCAGAATCAGAGAGGTTCAGTTCCAGTGGACTCTAGCTCGCCATCACATGCCTGAACAACAGGACCATGGAAATCAATAACTTGTGTACACATAAACTCTTGTATAAATACAGCTTCTATAAAAATACTTTCATATAATCAAATGCAACTACATGTCAAAGCTTCACATATAACTTTGAATACAGGCAGAAAACATTCAGTTAATCACATGTTCAATAATTAATAATTGTATAAATATTCATAAATCTCAATTAATCATTGTATAAATATCAATCAATAATCACAATCAATATGTAAACCAGTGTCTGGTACACTCACTCAACTTAGAGTGTGCATGTAGTAA